TTGTTTGTGTTGTTGTTTGCCATCTACAGAATTTTGCGAAGATAGTTATTATCATGAATTAAGTATCTAATAGGTCTTTATTAAATACTCTCCCACTATTTCTAACAAGTCAACTACCCTCAGGTACGGAACCTATTGACTTGGGGTTTCTATTTGAAGAATACCCTAGCGGGCCAAGATCCATATTTTATTTAACTATAGTTGTGCTTTGCATCTTGCCCTACAGTTAAATTATTTAGGTAGGAATTCATTCCAATTGCAATCGTTATTACAACTCTTGGTTCGGTGGATTCTTTTAAATAAAATTCTTAATTGGGCCAGATCCATATTTCATTTAACTATAGTTGTGCTTTGCATCATGCCCTATAGTTAAATTATTTCTGGTAAGAATAAATTCCAATTGTAACAATTTACAACTCTGGTTGGATGATCTGATTTTATTTATTGATCCTACCGCAGTGCCCTTAGTCTCTCATCCTTATGACCAAGACTTAGTTAAGACTAACCCGGGGCGAGTCAGTACCCTAGTTACGGGTTTCGCGCCTAACCAACGTAAACCGGGCGTCTCACTTGGGTGAGTCCGTTACCGATCTAAATTGGGTTTGACGAGTGACGGGGCGTCGGGGTGGCACAGACTTAAAATTATGAGGGATTTGTAACGCAGTCTTACCTATGGCATACACCGCGCGTATGCACTAGCGAAAATCACATACATGCATACATTCAATCATACATCACATGCATAATAAGTAAACGTGAAATGATTGTGGCTCCTAAAGAAAAACAAACGATAGCGCCTTGATCAAGAGATCTCTATCTCCGGCCCATCACGTCTTCCTTAGGATTCTTTATCACAAACGGACTTCGTCTTCTTGTCTTCTTATAATTTTCGAGAGAAAAGAATATTTGAGGTAAAGAAGAGAATTACATCCAGAGTATAGAGATGAGGGACGACACGCAAGCCGTATTTAAAATTACAACAAATATAACTAAGCCACAATCATCCACCATGCAATAATACATACAAGCATCACATGCATCACATCATACATATTAAAGCATACACCGGGCGAACCGCGCTCGCCCCAGACCTAGTTTATTCTATTCTAAGGAATAAACTATCAACAATAAATTAATTAAACTAGCAAGTAATTTAATTAAAAATCATAAAATACTTTAAATTTCCAAAATGTTAGAAATTTGATTTTCTAAATTCCAGAAAATAAAATATTTTATATTTACCGTATTTATATATATTTAAATTCGAAAAAGGGCTTTTATTTCGAATTAAATATATATATGTTTTCTAAATTAGCAAATAATTATTGGAGACTCCCAGTAAACTTTATTAATCTGGAAATCCTAAAATTCCAGAATGAATAAAATTTAAAATTTTGAAAACCATTTTTCAAAGATAGAAAACCGAAATTATATTGTGAAAATATATTTCGAAATTCCAAAAATATCAAA